TTCGCGAAATGTCCGGTCTTCCCGCAATTCCAGCATTTGATATTCGGCAATATAGTCGAGCCAGAACCGGAGATGGAGGAGTCGGCGGATGAGACCGTAGCGGGAGAATTCGGTGGGGTCGCGGCGGCAACTGAGGTGATGGCGGGCGCGGTTATCCTTTTCCGCACTTGATTATTCGCGCCATTCCCTCTCTTCGGGGTCGTCTCCTCCATTCCCGCAGCAGCAATAGCGGTCAGGGTCCTGGGGGCCTTACGCGGCGGGCGATATGCGAGATCCGGGAAAATCGAGTGTTCCGGCGGCGGCGGCGCTCGATATTGGTTTACGGCCTCGTAACTGCGCTCCACTCGCGCGGCTAAGTTCTCTAGCGAGTGAAAATCATATACAGGGTGTCCTATAATTCGTGGATCACCCGCCATGTGGAGGTAGAGCACATGAAACCGAGAAGAAGTCCTTTACCATTTTGCGATATTCGTAATAATTATTAAGAAATTAATTTAAAAAGATGGGCCAATCCATGCCTTACACAAGCGCGCGGCGAGAAGAGACTTCCTACTCAGGCGTTGCTAGGTGCGCGGCGAAGCGGTGGGAGGGGCGCTCTATACGGCTACGTACGAGCGAACGCTGAAGCCACGCATCTCGAACTATTCTCTCTCTCTCTCTCTCTCTCTCACTCTCTCTTTCTCTTTCTCTCTCCCTCTCTCTCTCTCTCTCTCTTTCTCACTCTCTCTTTCTCTTTCTCGCGCGCGCGGCATAGGAAGCGGAGCTGGGCAAAAATGTAAGCTAATTTACAATTACAAATTTCAATTGTTCAATTACAAATTTCAATGTAATTGTTTGCAATAATTAACGCGCGTCGATGCACAGCGATCTGTAAGCGCGGCAGCATATTCCGATGCGCATAATTTAGTTGTTCGTCAAGACTCCACGGGAGACTCAATCGCTCAAATAAAGCCCTAACACACATCAAAAAATCCGCAATAGGCTCGTGGTCCCCTTGTGTGCGGCGCACGATCTCGTCCCGCAACGCAAATTGAAAGTCCGGATTTCCGAATCGTGTTCGCCACTCAAAATCCTGCCAGTTACGCCACCGTCCGCGTTAATTCCGGTACCAATACAACGCTATACCCGACAAGAAGAACGGTATATAGTTGAATATCTCCTCATCGTTAACGGAAACTAACGCGCGTCCCTCCTCTACATGTGTCAGAAACGCTTCCGCGTCGCTATCGCGAGCACCCGAGAATTATAAATTCCATCGTCGCATCAGCTGATACGCGTCGAGGGCGGACGAGATAGGGCGCGCGGGGCCTCGTACTTCCGCCACGCGGGGCGGTAGATCCACCCGCGGTGGTCGTAGGCGCGCCCCCTTAAGCCGGTGTCACACTACGCATTGCGGACGCGGATCGGATCCGGATTGCGAATCACTGGATTCGAACTTTCCGTTCACACTACGGATCCAGTTTGAAGTGTGCGCACTATATGTTATTTGTTGTATGTGACAAAATGTCCATGGTAGAAAATTATTTTAAGAAATTTATGACAAATAGAAAACTGAAATTAATGTACCTGTTAGGTTAGGACCTAGGGCTTGCGCTATTTGGTCCCAGTGCATTCTCTTCAAATCCGTTCGGCGGTATTCTTCAATATTAGTGTCCCATAATAAAGGACGCTGTCTCACCATTTCGATTAACGTACATTCGATATCTTTCGAAAAAAACATATTTTTAGGACCCATTTCCAAATCATGTGAGTCTCGCACAACATAGCAGACAACAGATAACCGGGAGAAACTCGGCATTTCATTGGATCGCATTACGAATTACGGATCACAAAATAGAGAGTTGCCTATTTTGCGATTCGTAATCCGGATCCTTGGCTACTTCGCTCTGATTGGGTGATCGACGATTCGCAGTCCGTAATCCGAATCCGATCCGCGTCCGCAATGCGTAGTGTGACACCGGCTTTAAGCCCGTGTCACACTACGCATTGCGGACTCGAATCGGATTCTCAATGCGCTACATTCAAACTACGAACATTATTTAATAATTTTGCGGGCAAGACAAGGACGGAAACTATCGAGAGTGACTGTGGTGTACGAGCCGCGTGACGCAATACTTTATGCGATCCGGAATATCGATCGCGCGAGCGTGAAAATCCCGATAATTCGTAATACACAATAATTAGAAACGCGAAACTAACATTAGTGACTGTCGGCGGCGGCGAAATATGTAAAGAGAGAGCGCTTATTTCATGATTCGGATGAATAGCGGATGCCCGTCGGCCGATACGACATAATTTACCAAAACTCACAAAATTAATTTCACAAAGCGCGTGGTACGACAATTAATACGGGCGCGATTCATTCGAATTAATTACCTACAATAAATCGGCAGCTTTATACAGGTGACGACGCTCGTCCCACCGGTCGGAAGATCTACGCTATTCGTCCTTCTAAGCCTTTTTCGCGACACTTCTCGAGGACTGTGTCCCGATCCGTGGCTCGCCGAACAGTGCCGAGCGAGAGTCCTGCAGGAGACACGCCAGCGCGATAAATCGTGATCGTGCCACCTGTGGCGCTTCCGCGTTACGCAGGACTGTCCTGCGTTGCGCAGAGCCATCCTGCGGTCCTCGCGGTCCTTGCTGTCGTCACGGCCGTATTAGTAGATCCATCGCCCCGTATTTTCCAAATTTGTGCTGTCTTCCGGTTTAGAGATGTGAAAATCCCGATAATTCGTAATACACAATAATTAGAAACGCGAAACTAACATAAGTGACTGTCGGCGGCGGCGAAATATGTAGAGAGAGAGCGCTTATTTTATGATCCGGATGAGTAGCGGATGCCCGTCGGCCGATACGACATAATTTACCAAAACTCACAAAATTAATTTCACAAAGCGCGTGGTACGACAATTAATACGGGCGCGATTCATTCGAATTAATTACCTACAATAAATCGGCAGCTTTATACAGGTGACGACGCTCGTCCCACCGGTCGGAAGATCTACGCTATTCGTCCTTCTAAGCCTTTTTCGCGACACTTCTCGAGGACTGTGTCCCGATCCGTGGCTCGCCGAACAGTGCCGAGCGAGAGTCCTGCAGGAGACACGCCAGCGCGATAAATCGTGATCGTGCCACCTGTGGCGCTTCCGCGTTACGCAGGACTGTCCTGCGTTGCGCAGAGCCATCCTGCGGTCCTCGCGGTCCTTGCTGTCGTCACGGCCGTATTAGTAGATCCATCGCCCCGTATTTTCCAAATTTGTGCTGTCTTCCGGTTTAGAGATGCGGGCTTCCGGCAGCGTCCGATCGGCTCTCGTTCCTATCTTGCAGAATAGGTCCCGGGATGAGAGTCCTCTCGCCGCTCCGTCTTTGGGATTCCCTCGCTTCGTGCGGATGGAGTGGATGTTCCTTCGACCGAATCTTTCCGGCCCTCCGCGCCCCTTTCCTGCCGTAAAAATACAAGATTAACGGCAATGATGTTTATTTGCCACCAATGGAGTTTTTAATATAATAAAGCGATTACGACCTGGCGGCTCCCGCTCGCTGGATGTTTCGGACTCCCGCTCTCGGCTGCCTTTCTTCTCTCTTCCTGTCGACAATCCTGTGCCGACAACTAACTCGCGGGCTTATAATCGAGCTTACAGTTTCGCTCTTATCTCTAATCGCGGGCCAGATCTCGTTGATCTGGCGATCGGGCCGCTCTTTGCCTAAATCGGGCGACCGAAAGTTAGAGACTTTCAAAATGCATGGCTGCATGAGGATAATTTTAAGATAATGTTTTTATATTTGATAAATTTTATTTATGTTCATTTTTATAAATAAATATTTTTATTTTTTGTATTTTTGTATGAATACTGGTGAGGTTTTTGGCAGTTTTCCTTACCCGTGCAACAAATGTTGGTATTCTATGAGATTCTGCCAAAAATAAAATATTTTATTTTCGTTTGCATAAAAATGTGTTTTTAATTAATTATTTTATTACCCTCTTTCCTTTTTCAGCTTAGAATTTATTTTATATATATATATATATATTTATTTATTTATTCCTTATAATTCAGCACTATGCAGAGTGTTATTTAAAGTCCGCCCACTGAATACATAGCGTTATTCCTTACCAAAAAATGAGTCAAAAGGTCTTGAATTATTTTTTTTCTATAACACTTAATAAAAGAGTAATTATTGAGTAAAGTCAGGCCAATCAACGCCGACCTTTAGCCAGGCGCACGTCAATGAGCCGCGCGCCCGGCTAAAGGTCGGCGCTGATTGGCCTGACTCTACTCAATAATTATTCCTTTATTAAGTGTTATAGAAAAAAATGATTCAGAACTTTTCGACTCATTTTTTAGTAAGGGATAACGCTATGTACTTAGTGAGCGGTCTTAAAGTGACACCCAATATATTGAGCGCGCCCCTTTCCTGCCGTAAAAATACAAGATTAACGGCAATGATGTTTATTTGCCACCAATGGAGTTTTTAATATAATAAAGCGATTACGACCTGGCGGCTCCCGCTCGCTGAATGTCTCGGATTCCCGCTCTTGGCTGCCTTTCTTCTCTCTTCCTCCACTTCCGCCGGATGGGATCTCGCCGTTCAATCCTGTGCCGACAACTAACTCGCGGGCTTATAATCGAGCTTACAGTTTCGCTCTTATCTCTAATCGCGGGCCAGATCTCGTTGATCTGGCGATCGGGCCGCTCTTTGCCTAAATCGGGAGGACACATGCCCCCGAAAAACCGCCCACGATCGGGCCGTTCGGCCCTTGTGACGAATGTCCCAAAAACGTCACGTCACAATATATACATATGTCAATGAGCCGCGCGCCCGGCTAAAGGTCGGCGCTGATTGGCCTGACTCTACTCAATAATTATTCCTTTATTAAGTGTTATAGAAAAAAATGATTCAGAACTTTTCGACTCATTTTTTAGTAAGGGATAACGCTATGTACTTAGTGAGCGGTCTTAAAGTGACACCCAATATATTGAGCCATATATAATATATTTTAGAAAACGAAATAGAAGGAATAACATGCCCAGCTCCGTCTGAAGCATACGGTGCGATTAAACGATGTGAAGCAATGTGGGGTTCTCACAAAGGATGGTTGCCTTGCGATCGAGCCCTCCCAGTCGGCACACGGGTTTTCCTTGAATGTCCGGCATTCTATGAGCGTCGCAAAGGATCCGCTAGCGTTATGTGTCTTCACGACGGCACGTGGAGTCAACCACTCTTGAATTGTGTTCCTATCTGCGGAATAAGGGACTTTACAGGTTTGGCAACCGATAACAAAAAGTTAAAAAAAAAAATCGGACAATTTTTAAATAACCATTACATATCATTCATGCATATTTCTAGAATTAAAAAATAAAAACAGATGCGTTTCTCGAAAATAAACTATTGAATCTTGAATTTTTTTGTCGTATCTAAAAAATTCACGAGAGATTTTAAAAATATTTAATATATTTTTCTTGTTTTTTTTTTGCTATATATCAGTCATAATAAGTCAAAATTTTTCTTATATTAATATGAGAGAAAAAACAATATCTTTGTATAAAGATACCTAATATTTCACACTTATTTAACTTTTATATGTATGAAAAAAGAAATACTTATTGTTAGCGGCACCATTGATCGTAAGGGGATGGCGCGTTGAGAAAGAAGAGACACTACCGTGGCAAGCTACCCTCTTCTCGCACGAAAATGGTCAATGGAGATTTTTTTGCGGTGGCACGTTGATAGCAGAACGCATTGTGTTAACTGCCGGCCACTGCGTTTGGAAGACTTCGGCAGATACAGTACGCGTCGCCTTCGGAATCCTCTCGAGTGATTTAAATCAAGCAGGAAAAAACGCGCAGGTGATCGACATAGAAAGCATCGAATTGCAGAGTGCGTATCAAGATCACGAGAGTAACTATGGTTCAGATATCGCATTGCTGATCTTGAAGGAAGCTGTGATCATTAACTCGGTTGTTAAACCCGTTTGCATTCCTTGGCACTCAGACGCGACATTGATAGAATATCAGGAAACCGGTAAATTTGGATTGGTAGCTGGTAAGTTTAAATTTTGCTTAAAAAATGTAATAGATATAATTAAAAAAAATAAATACGATCTTATATCTTGTTCATAAATATCAAAGCATAATGGATAAAAGAAACCAGTTTCTGCCTAAAAAATGGAAATTATACATATAATTTTATGCTGTTTGCATTGCTGAACACGATGATAGTATTTATATTTGTCTGAAATGGTGGAAAATGGTCAAAATTTATTTTAAAGAAGTCTAAAGTAAATTTTTTTTTATTAATATTAAAAATTGGATTAATGATGGAATAATTAGATTAATAATAATTTATTTCAATTATTTAATAATTTATATT